GAGAGAGAGAGAGAGAGAGAGAGAGAGAGAGAGAGAGAGAGAGAGAGTGAGTGAGTGTTTTTCTTATGTATGTGGTACACTTGTGGAAGTCGGTGGACAACCTTCCTGTCAATTCCTGCCTTTCCACCATCTTTGACCAGGGTTTCCTCATCAGGCAGGCTGGACAGGCGGCTTCTGGAGATTCTCCTGTCTCCAACTCCCATCCCCCTGGGATTACAGACTTTGGGTACTGCCTCTACTTTTACTTGGGTTCTGGAGACCCGAACTCAGGTGGTCGAGCTTGTATACAGTAAGCACCTTTACCTGCCGGGCCATCTCCCCACTCACAATAGCTTTTTCTAAGCCAGGCCTAGGTTCTTTCTTCAGCACTCAACTAACTATGGTATCTGAGAGAGAACTGATATTTTAAATACATGCATTCTAGAGCTGGGGTGGTGGCTCAGTGGGGACATAACTTACCACCAAGCCTGATGACTCATGTTCAGTCCCCGGAGCCCACAAAGTAAAAGAAGAGACAACTCCAAGTTGTCCTCTGATCTCCACTCTACACTGTGGCACACTCTCAGAGAATAAATAATAAATAAATAAATAAATAAATAAGAATGACTGTATATTCTACTACTCTACATTGGCTATAAGTAATTATACTTATCTATCCAATCTTCCATTTTATTCCAGATAATCAATAACAGATTTCAAGATCATCAAATTCAACCCACAGGGTGGACAGTCAAAGTTTCAGAAGTAGACAGCTGACTGCTTCCATGTGAGTAGAGTTTGTGTCTTTGGGCGTCTGCTTACAGTACTTCTGCCTGATTTGCTATATTGTTGCATTTAACGTTACATCATGAAAAACCAGCCTGCTGGCTACTCCTCTTGTTGTTTAGTTAGCACTCTGGTTAGCTAGTGAATCTGGGAGACTTTATCAAGGTTTTGAGAGATGTTTTAATCTGACTTTCTGTTATTTCTCTTTCCTACACATGTAATTTGTTTGTTTGTTTGTTTGTTTGTTTGTTCTTGATACAAGCCATGGCTAGGCTGAAACTCATTTTGTAGACCAGGCTAACCTTTAGCTCACAGAGATCTGCCTGCCTCTACTCTCAAGTGCTGGGACTGAAGGTGTAAGCCACCATGTTTAACTTCATGTGTAATTTCTTAAGACACAGGAACTCTTCGCTAACTATGACTAATTCTGTAATCTTGAGCCAATAAGGAGGATGACTCTGACACACAGGCCCCTAAGCTCATCTTTGGGAAAAGGCTAATGATTTCAGGAGCAATAGACCACCTACCTGTCCTTTCAAACAAGTGGTTCAGTCACTTTTCTGTTGCTGTGATAAACCAGGGTCAAAAGCAACGTGTAGATAAAAGTGTTTATTTTGGCTCACAGTTCTGGAGAGGTCAGAGTCCATTCTGACAGAGAAACGCAGCAGCAGGCAGCAGGAGCAGGAAGTAGAGAGATCACATTTCAAGGGTATCAGGAAACAGAGAGGTGAGCTGAAAGTGGGGTCAGTTTGTAACCCTTCAAAGACTGCCCTGGTGATGTCCTCCAGCAAGGCTCCCAAACAACACCACCAATCAGGGACTGAGTTTTTAAATACATGTGACCATAGGAGGCACTAAACCACCCCAAGTCTACCAGCAGAAGCACCCAAGGAGCACAAAAGGGCTTTTCTATGATAGGGTGTGGAAAACAAAGGAAGGGGGGGCACCTTAATTGAAAGAAGGGTTTTTTGGCTTGGTTTGGTTTTGGGTTCTTTGTTTGTTTGCTTGCTTGCTTGCTTGCTTGCTTGCTTGCTTGCTTGTTTTCAGGAATTCAGCACCTTCTCAGGCAATTACTGTCTCAGGATCATTTCAATTGTTCTTCTTCTTGTTTCCTTTCTCTTCCTCATATTCTTGGTTTTCTTTTAGCAGAACCTCTCTTGAGGTAGGGATGTGTGTGTGTGTGTGTGTGTGTGTGTGTGTGTGTGTGTGTGTCTGTGTCTGTCTGTCTGTCTGTGTATATTTGGACTTTGTGACTATTAGGAAAAAAGGCTATCTGTGTGTGTTTGTGTGTCTGTGTGTGTCTGTCTGTCTGTCTGTCTGTCTGTCTGTCTGCTGTATGTCTGTGTCTGTGTGCCTGTGTGTATTTGGACTGTGTGACTATTCACAGAACAGACTGTCAGAGTTCTACAAACTCCTTCTCTGTATACTCCCACCCTTTGCAAATGCCAGCTTTCCTAAAGGACTCCCTCCCATCCTTCTCTCCTTATGGTCCTAAAGCAGCTGAGAAGGAGATGCCCATTGTTGTGAAGCTGTCCCAGAATGCCACTGATCACTTGATTCTGAAATTTTACACAAATTTCTACTTCTATAAAATAAGAAAATTTGAAGAAAAGAGCTGGACTGGGACATTCCAGTGAATGATGGCCCGTGGCCAGCAGAAGTGCCTCCCGACTGTGTTTCATTAAGTTCAGGCACCTAAAAGGCTTGAGGGAAAAGACCACTTTTCCTGTAAGCATGTGAAAGACACGCTTTGAGTTGTAAGCACCGAGAAGCCTTTGCTCTTGTTTCAGAACAGCATGAGTGGGAGACTTCATAACCACTGTGGGCCAATATGTTAGGAAACAGTTGGGGCTCCAGATGGACAGAGAAGTTTAGGAATTTATTTTCTTCCATTTTCCTCGGGTTTTACAAAATGAGTTGCCCTGGACACCCTTAGCAGAGTATTCTGTCTCTTACTTAGCTCAAATTTTCTCCAGTGTGATATATATATGTATGTGTATATGTATATGCGTATGTATGTATGTATATTAGGATTTAAACTCATAATGTGATATGTGATGTTTCTCTATGAACTTCTGGGAGTGCTTATAAAATGAGGCTTGTGGGAGAAGGCCTGAAATGCACTTCTATCCAGGAGTCTCCCCTAAAGGAGGCTCAAGTCCACATGAGCCTGGGTGAAGCCATATTTGGCTAGAGATTGAGGAGACACAGGGACACGGGTTCTCAGGCTCTCCCCACCTTGTGGTTGGTTAGCAGTGTAAGGAGAAATCCTAGCCCCTCACATGGAGACTTGTAAGCTTGGCTAACTGATGGGGTTTCCCTGGCTTAGACATTACCTTCAGCCTTCAGAGGAAGCTCATGAGAGCGCACACCCCTGCCCAGCACAGCTTCTAACAGAAGAGAATGCCAAGGTTGAGGGATAGAGTGTGGTACAGACAACAGGAAGCAAGGCAGATGGTGGTGCCAGGAGCCCTGTCAACAGTGAATACTCAGCCAAGAGGAAAGAAGGACTGAGCTGCTTATCCGAACACTCTCGCAGGTCTCACCTGGCATTCCAAAAGGGTGTGCTCTGACTCCACAGACTTCTAAACTCTTCTCACTCTCCTGACTCAGAGCCACAACCTTCCAGTAAAATTTAAGTAGAACAAATATTCAACTTGGATGGGGTGGGGGCAGTGGGTTGAGACAGTTTCCTTCCTACTATTCTCTATACCCCTAGTCCAACAATGTCAAATTAAATCTAGATTCTTTTTCAATGGAGTCTTCTGAGAGGAAAGGGCAGGCTTGCATTCTCTGAAACGGATATTTTAGACTAAAGTTATTGAGGGGGGGTGGAGGGGTGGATTTCCCCTCCTTTTTCCTAATTCTAAACAAAACGTCCATCATTCATTCTAACACCAGCCTTTAAGAGCTGGAGACAAATGGAGTCTGAATATTCACGCCAGTGTGGTACAAATGAGCTGTGATCTCAGGATGTTGGCTGCCCTGCTGACAGGGAAAAAGAGTAGTTTAATATCTTTGGCTGAAAACACTTCTTAAAGGATGGAGAAGGCCAACATTAATACCCAGTCCTGTTATTTAATAACTAAAAGTGATATACTGTGGATGGGGACATCCGAAAACTGGAGGAAAGTGTGTTCCTCAGCTCTGCAGAACGCAAAATGGGAGTGAGTGCCAAAACACTGGATATTAAGGAAGCAGACCTTCTCAGAGCATTTTTCTTTAAGATGTTCAAAGACTTCTCCCCATAAGTATTTATAACCATGATTTTCTTTTAACTTGACTTCATCACAGATTTTCAAAATTTATAAACACAGGTGGTCGTTGATTTACAATGGCTGCATTTAGGGTTTTCTTGACTTTACAATGGTGCAAAAGCCATGTGCATTCATTAGAAACTGTGTTTCAAGTTTTGTGTTTGGATCTGTTCCCAGGCTAGCAATATGAGGTCTGATAAGCTAGCAATGCTGGGTACCACAGCTCCAGCCTGACCTGCCCATCATGAGATCAGACAGCTGATACAAGAGAGTACCTGACACACTGATGCTCAGTAGGTCAGGTGAAGTGGAGACATTTTCAGTTTTCAACAGCTTTATCGGGATGTAAACCAAGGAGAATTCATCTAAAGACATTTGTCTCAAATCGAGATTCGGGAACCTTTTAAACTGCCTCTCCCAGGTAAATGACTAGTAGTTTACAAATTAACAATGAAATTATAAGTTGAGGGTGGTAAGGAAGGCTGTGGCTGCTATTAGCTGCAACTCCCTCAAACACTCATCTGACCTGCTGCCTCAGTCATCCTACAGAGACATGTTCGATAGGATCACCCCCATCCCAAGTGCTATATGAAGTCTGGGCTAGCAATTGTAGCGTTCTTTCCTATGAAATGAACCTTTTAAAAAACTCAGTGCAGCAGAGAACTTGGTGAATCCATTGATATACTCACTGACATCAATTGAGGTGTCCGGTAATATTTACGTAGGTTTTTCTTTTAACCTCATCTTGGCAAGGCGTCCCAATGTTTTAAATTTCTTCACACCCCCATCCATGTATAATCCTTCGTCATGTGGTTGTAGGCGCAATATTACAGTGCACCATCTGTGTCTGTCACTCTTCTTCTGAAATCCTTTTTTAAGTGACATCTAATTGTCCCTACATGATTTGTTTCCATAATTCTGTGTTTTGTAGGGTGTTTAAAGAAAAAAAATGAGAGAAACACAACAATAGTTTCAAGCAAATCGAAGTAAAAAGCAGAGTAAGGTTATCATGGCATTTGAACGGACTGTTCATAAAAAAATCAGACATGAGAAGCCGGAAGCAGAGTCTCTCGTGAAGGCAGCGAAGCTAAAGCCACAGGACCTCTCACTGGGATAGGGGCCTCCCAGACTAATGCCTTCCATTTAATATCATATCCTGTTTCTCAAGTGAGGCCTCCGAAATCACTGGCAAGTCCTAGATCTCCCCAGAAATGGACACAGATGAAGTCCGGTGATTTAGAGTCCATGTCAAAAGCTAATTGAGCGAGCAAAGCAAAGACATGGCCAAAGTGTGAGGCGTGGCGATTTATTTATTTATTTTTTTTAAGATTTTAGAATGAACTCAGCTTATTTTCTCAAGCGTCCCCCCACTTAGGTAAAATAATAAATCGGGTTGCCAACACACAAACGAACACAAACAAGAGATTCATTTTTACTTCATTAATAAACATCAAGTGTGAAGTGTGCCGTGACAACAGCTCCTGGTGGGAAGACTCTGTAGGTGCATATAAATCCTTTCAGACGATCTTATGACCATATCATCATTGAGGTCCTTGCTTCTGTCTCCATTGTCTCGTTCATGTACAGGTCTTGTGTAGCAGAGTATTATGGTTGAAGACACACTGTGGAACCAGGCTACTTAATTATTAATCCCGAGTCTATTATTAACTAACTCTGTGACCTTGGGTAAATAACCTACTTTCTCTGGGTTTTGATATTTCTCTATGAGAAATTAGGACAGTAA